CATCATCATCATCATCAGCAGCATCATCAGCCATCAGAAGCAGCAGCATCATCATTAGCAGCATCATCACCACCATCAGCATCGTTCAGCAGCATCATCACCACCATCATCAGCATCATCATCAGCATCATCAGCATCATCATAACATACCTCTCAGCACACCTCTGACACGGACCATGCAGCACAGTGAGCTCCACCTACGGACTCAGCGGGCGCGACCGCATGCGCCGCATGGGGGGGGCGTTACTTTCGGCGCGAGGGAGGTCAGTCCCGGTATGCCCCTGCGCGCCTACTTCGCAGCATCAGCGCTGCCCAAAAGTCCATCCCTTCAGCGCGCGCGCCTCGCGCTAAAGGCGAATGCGCATGCTGTGTTCCTCGCTGTTGCCTCGCCATCGTATTCGCATGTCTCCTCTTCCGCATCCTACTCACAACCTCAGCTCTTGCTTTCATGCTCTCCCTGCGCTCCCTGTCCCCCTCATCTCGCCATTGCTCACAAAAGGGGGCGCCCGCAGAAGCCCTCGCTGCCCACAAAGTCGTGGCCGCAGTTGCATTGATGCGCAAGCTTCGCTCCAGGTCGCTGTCTACCACACCTGCTGGCGCACAGTACAGGGGTGACGGTTCGCAGTAACAAGTCATGTGAGGGGCACGCATCTAGACACTTGCGTCTGATTCCAGACGCTGGTGGAACCTGAGTCTAAGAGGGCGCGAAAACCAGTTTACTGCAATCGAGGCGTTTGAAGCACGATGAGACACGATAAGATCAGGTGTGACCGAATGACCCAATTGAGCTGATTTTCTGGAGAGGAACGAGCGCAAATATGGCGCTGAATGATGGCACCTCCTGTTGAATGCATCCACGCTAAAGAGGCATGACCCCTCTAATAACGCTGCCTCGCTCACCATATTTGACAACATTGTCCTCTGAATTGGTGCGCGGCGTGGCATGGGGACAAATTGTCTTGTACGCAACAGTCCAGACACTGCCGCTTACCGCGGTCGCCTGGCTGACGACTACTTCCGCACAGACGGCGGTGCAGCGCAGGACTAGTAGCTGGCAGTGGCGACTTGAAGCGGTTGCTGAAGGCAACCTTCGTTAGTCTATTCCTTTTCCCTGCTGAAGTGCCGTCCCGTCCGACTTTGCGAAAAACTGCAATATCACAAAAAACGACCGAACCCCTAGACCTCATCTATCAGCAGCTTTTTTTGACCGTGATCGATATGTGATGGTCCCAGGGCCCGAAGCCTGCCGAAAACGACAAGTGGGGAAAAATACAACTCCCAGATCTCAGGGTCTCCCCCCCCACACGTCATTGCCCCGTGGCTATCGAGTCATAACTTGGCTTTCCGGCAGCCCTTCGGGACGATCCGAGCACGCCCGGAACGCTTTTGGCGTGGCGCAGCTGGTGGAAAACATTCCGAGGCTGGGAGACCGCCGAGAAGCGACGAATACGTCTGAAGACCACGAGTCCCGAAGCCGAAACTTCACTCTCCTTCGCTCGCCCGCTCACGTGGAGCCCCGGACCGCTCAAGGGGGCCAGCAGGGCCAGCAGGACAGGACCCTGAGGGATGGGGCCCCATGAGCGGGGGCCTTTTTCGCCCACGCGCACGGAGCGACCGTCAACAGGAGCGACCTTTCTTAACGCGCGGCCGCGCAAGCCTCTGCTGTCGCACTGCATCTACGATCGGTGGGAAAAAATCCCCGCCCCCTTCGGCAGTGGACAAACCTCCCTTTAGCAAACCACCCTCGGCAATGGGATCGAAACCGACTGACCCGGACCCGCAAAAATGACGGCCACGCCAATTCGTTAATCGACGTGTCAGGGTAGGAGGTCTGCCCACCCCCGACCCCTTTGGGTCAACGACAAAGGTCGTTCCGGCGAAGGGTCACCCTTGCGCGTCAGAGCCTGCGGCCAGGCCCGCCACCCTGGGGCACTTGAGGGCGAGACCCTGCAGCCAGGAACGCTTCAAGGGCTCCAATATCCGACGTCGTGCCCGCTGCACATCGTGGAGCCCAGGAGGCCCGGACCCCTTCGCAGATACCGGTTTTTCATGATCGGTCTGTTTTCCACCACCACCATAAGTTGGAGGGGGGAAGGAGGTGGAGGATGAGGAGGAGCAAGAGGAGGAGGAGGAGGAGGAGGAGGAGGAGGAGGAGGAGGAGGAGGAGGAGGAGGAGGAGGAGGGGGGGAAGGAGGAGGGAGGAGGAGGAGGAGGACAAGGAGGAGGAGGAGGAGAAGGAGGAGGAAAAGGAGGAGGAGGAAGAGGGGGAGGAGGACCCCCTACCCCTCCAACTTATGGTGGTGGTGGTGGAAAACAAGCCCATCATGTCATCCTGATTCTCTTTTCGACGGTTCATGGCCCCAGAAAGGTTAGGAGGCAACTCCTGGAAGGCCCTCGGCAAAACGATGAAGGACTACAACCGATGGAAAGGCCATTGGGCAACGATGGGGGCACTTTTACCTAACAACTTGCGCTGATAGGTTTCTAGTAGGGTCAAAAGAGAGCATCATGACACTCCAGGGGGGCCCAGGCGGAAGCCGGCAGAAACCGGCAGAATCCGGCGGAGCCCACTCCGTGCGCGCAGGTACGCACGGGAGCCACCTCGGCGCCATCGGAGGTGCGTTCCGTGCCCGCAGGCACGCACGGGAACCACCTCGGCGCCGTCGGAAGTGCGCCCCGTGCGCGCAGGTACGCACGGGAGCCACCTCGGCGCCATCGGAGGTGCGTTCCGTGCGTGCAGGTACGCACGGGAACCACCTCGGCACCATCGGAGAAGCGCTCCGCGCGCGCAGGTACGCACGGGAGCCACCTCGGCGCCATCGGAGGTGCGGCTGAGGCTGAGGCAGGCTGAGGCTGAGGCTGAGGCTGAGGCTGAGGCTGATGCAGGCTGAGGCTGATGCAGGCTGAGGCCGCAGGAGTACGCGGGAGCGCAGCAGGCTGAGGCTGAGGCAGGCTGAGGCTGAGGCTGAGGCTGAGGCTGAGGCTGATGCAGGCTGAGGCTGAGGCAGGCTGAGGCCGAAGGGGTATGCGGGAGCGCAGCAGGCTGAGACTGACGCAGGCTGAGGCTGAGGCTGAGGCTGATGCAGGCTGAGGTTGAGGCAGGCTGAGCTGACTTGTCCTGTGGAGCTCCAGTGTCACAGAAGATGCATATGTAGCTTCCTCGTCGCATTAGGGGCTCCAGCGTCACCGAATTTGTCCTTTTTACCGTCGCTGTCGTGCCGCGGGGCGCTTCAGCGGGCAATCATGCGCATGAAGTACGCCACGCGCCTGCGCGCTCACGAAGAGGGCCAGGGCGCCCTGTCGCCTGCGGGCGACCGCGCGGGCTTGCCCCCGCAACAGCCAAAAAGGGCATGCCCACACGCCGGGTAAAGCCTAAAAGGGCTTTCGTCTGCCTGTTCCTTGCCTCCCGCTCTCCTCCTTCTTCTTTCATCGACATCAGAACCCCCGCCCCCTATGACGCTCCCCGCTGGCTTGGGTGGTCTACTCAGGTCGCGGGGGGGGATAGGGGGGGTCGTTGCCACGGCTGGTGCCTCGTTTTCACGACGGGGAGGGGGGGGTGCACCGTTCCCTCGGTTGGGCACATCCCCCCCTCCAGGGGCCTCCGAGCCCTCCCTCTCCGTCCTTTCCTTCTCCTCTCCTCCTCGGACTTCAACGCCTTTGGCGTCTCCGACGACCCCCTTGGGGAATTTTAGTAGTAGTAGTAGTAGTAGTAGTAGTAGTAGTAGTAGTAGTAGTAGTAGTAGTAGTAGTAGTAGTAGTAGTAGTCGTAGTAGTAGTAGTAGTAGTAGTAGTAGTCGTAGTAGTAGTAGTGGTAGTAGTAGTAGTAGTAGTAGTAGTAGTAGTAGTAGTAGTAGTCGTAGTAGTAGTAGTAGTAGTAGTAGTAGTAGTAGTAGTAGTAGTAGTAGTAGTAGTAGTAGTAGTAGTAGTAGTAGTGGTAGTAGTAGTAGTAGTAGTAGTAGTAGTAGTAGTAGTAGTAGTAGTAGTAGTAGTAGTAGTAGTAGTAGTAGTAGTAGTAGTAGTAGTAGTAGTAGTAGTAGTAGTAGTAGTAGTAGTAGTAGTAGTAGTAGTAGTAGTAGTAAGGCCACATTTTTAATACCCATATCCAACTGTAAGCCACTTCGTGTTCGTCGAGTTCCCAGAACTCCATTCCCGGGCTCCCGGAACTCCGTTCCCGGGATGCATTTTGACTGCCCGGAGCCAACAGTAGGAAACTTCGTGTTCATCGAGTTCCCAGACCTCTATTCCCGGGCGACCTTTTGCTTGCCGTCCTTGTGTTCTTAGCGCAATGACTGACGCGTTCGAAGCCTCCCGCACTCTTAATACAATCAAATTTCCACTCTGCCTCTGATAGCCGTCTTTGGTCCAGAACGTGTCTCCGACATTCCAATGCCCCTCGCCACAAGGCGCCTGTCCCGCGCAGTCTACATTGCAATGGCCTTCGCCTCGCCGCGAGACTCGCCCCCATCTTCGGCCTCCCGCGGTGCTTCTCAGCCCGCGGGGAGGGACCGAGGCGCGCCTGCGGCCGCGCCTGCTCGCGCTACTCCTCAGCCTGAGTCTTTCACGGTCGCCTCCTTTAACTTCGGGTTCGAGCAGCCAATGATGTCCGGAAAGAGGTCCAGCACCCACTGCGCCAACTTTGGGCGGGTGTGCGCCACGATCGTGATTTCTCGTCGATAGTAATGCCTCCTTTGCAGACACGCCCACTATTGATCGCAGCGTTTCGCCTCCAGTCAAATCCGAACATGAGTCTACAGAATAATGCTTCCATTTATGCTCATACACATGGCTGTTAGGTTGCTTTGCTGGGATAATTTGTTCTCTCTTCGCTGCCGAGGCCCAGTCAATTCGCATGCAAGCAGGGCCCGCGCACGGGCCGAAGCCGCCGCCGCCCGCGCGGGCGGGCCGCCGCCTCGCGGCCGAGGCCCCGGCCGCCGACGCAAGCCGCGCGGCCTCGCCTCCACGCCCATGGGCGGCAGGAAGAGGCCAGCCGCCCGCGCGGATCACTCACCCGCGGGCGGCGCCTTGCCACGCTGGCGCCTGCTGGAGCGCTGCACATCGGCCCCAGCCTCGCTGCCTGCGCAAGCCTCAGGCGCAGGCCTGCGCGCCTGGCCGCTCGGGTCGACCCCGAGCTGCACGGCCCAGCGGCTCCGCGCCTCGGGGGGCGGCCCAACCAGAGCGCCGAAGAAAAGCTTCGGTTTGGTGTTCGGCGCCAACCCCTTGCCGATGTCGTTGCGCGCCTGCGCCCGCGACCCTCGGCGCTGGTGGCAGGCGCCTTTGCGCTCGACCCCGAGGCCTTCCCAGGCCATCTTCGGGACTCTGGCGAAGAGGAAGCAGGTCGTGCAGACCATGAACTCGACCCCCCCGCCATCTGGAACCGCCCATCATCAGCTCGCGGTCGTGGACCTCACAGGGTGCGCCGGCGGGCGCCCCGTCCGCTGGGGTCGCCGCAGCCGCTGTCTCCTCGGGGGCCCGAAGGCCTCTCGGCCCCGGCGCCAGCAAGCCCCACCGCCGAGGCCGTTGCCAGCGCCGCTGCCGCCCCGCCACGCCCGGGGAGCCCCCTGCCGCGGCACTGGACTCCGCCTCGCCCCACCCGGGCGCCCCGAAGTTCACGTCCTCACGCGCCAATGTCGGCGAGCCGTCGCGGGCCCCCACCTCCGTCGCGCGGGCCTCCAGCACTGGCGCGCGCCTGGCCGCGCCTCGGGCCCAGACGCCCCACGGGGTGAAAGGGGCCCGCAGGGCGAGCGCTCCCTCGCCGACTGCAGCGCGCCAACACCATCCGCGAAGGGCCGGCCCCGCGGCAGCAGCAGGTCCGGGTGGAAGCCGCCGCCCCCCCCCATGCCGCCCGCTCGGGAACAGACCCCTCCGCTTGCTGCATCTCCTCGCCAGTGAGCAGGGGCAGGTCCTTGATCGCCTTCCATCTCTCGGGTAGACCATGGTCAGGCACGGCCCCTCCCAGGTCAGCCTGCTCGGCCACTCCCCCGCCGAGCCAGAGCTGCCCCCACTCAGGCGGATCTGGTCAAGGGCCGCCTGGCCGCCAGGCGGGACCGAGAGGCGGCCTCCTTCGGAGCCCAAGGGCGAGAGCTCCTGGTCTGGCGGCGGGTTGATGACTGCAAGGACTGCCCAGTCTCTCCCTACCAGTGCGCCATCCAGGGAGCCGTTCCAGCTGCCGCGAGCAATCTGGGCGTCTGACATGGCGCGCTTCTCCGTGGCCGCCCGGGCCGCCGCGGCCGCTGCCCGCTGCCGCGCCAGCCGCCCCTGCGGCATCCAGGACCTCATCCGCGGGCCGACCTCCCGCGCGGTCTCCGATCGCCGCAGGTCTGTCAGGCGCCCGTGCACTTGGCGCAGCCCCTGCGAGCGTCCAGCATCGGCGTCGCCGTCCTGGATCTCGGAGGCCACGGTGAGACGCTGCCCCGCCACCCCGCAGAACTCCCCCACCGCCTCAACGGGAAAGCCGCTGGCGTCAAACCGCGGCACCTGCCACCGAAACCCCGACAGCGCCGCCGAGATCACGAAGTAGTCGCACTTCCTGAGGGCGCCCGTCGCGCGCTGCGGCCCCCGCAGCGCCTCGCCGATGGGGCGCGACCACCGAGGGCTGAGGGGGCCCTGGGGCTCACCGTTCCAATGCCCCGCGGCAATGAAGAACGCGTTGACTGCGCTGCTGAACTCCTGGCCCCGACCTAGCCGCTCGCGGTTGACCCCCATGAGCCTCGACGATTTCACCAGATAGACGCCCGCGATCACGGTCACCAGATCGCCGAAGGCAAACCGCCGAGCGAGGGCCCTGTGCCCCAGGTCGCAACAGCCCAGCTCGATCTTGGCCACGCCTCGGACACAGGCTGTCGAAGCACCAACTCCAGGGCACCCCTCCCGCACCTTCGGCTTAGTGCGCCTGCGCGGACCGAGCGCGGACAGCAACCCCTTCCTCTTGCACCAGCTGCGCGCCGTGGCCTGCGACGCGCCACCAGGGGGGCGCGACTCCTGCACCAGGAACACGCCGCCCTGCCCCCCGCGGCCCCGAAGCTGCTCGAGCGCCGCGTGGGTCTCCGCCCACGAGTTCCCGCTGATCGCGGCCACAGGGGTCGCCGAGGGAGGGGTGGAGATGTCCTCCGCCAGCCTCGGCCCCCAGGCGGGCCGCGCCGGGGGCCCGCTGCTAGAGCTGATGCAGGCCGCCGCCTGGCGCCGCCGCGCGGCTCGAAGGCACGATCGCCAGCGGGCCCAGGTCGGAAGCCTCGGCCACCAGCTGTTGCAGCACACTCCTTGGTACTTGAAGCCAGACACCTGCGGCCGAGCCGCGGCGCTCTGCCTGCCCGCGTTCAGACGCAGGCACCAGCTCGCCCATGAGCTCCACGTCGGAGTCCTCGTCCACATCGAGCGGGGAGCTGTCGCACGTGCGCTCCCTGGTCGGGGCCCCCGACGAGCTGTCGCGGTCTGCGAAGCGCCCCTCCACAGCTTCCAGCTGCTGCATGGTCGACAGCCAGGCGTCCGCGAAATTCCCAGTCTGGTGTGCCGAGAGCAACGTGCGCAGCTGCAGGAGGAGCCCACGAAACGCCTGCAAGCCCGCCTCGGAGATTTGCCTCCGCTCCTACTCCGACTCAGCAGCTGCCGCCGCCATCTCGAGCTCTACCAAACGCTCACGGGCCTCTGCACGGCGCTCCTCTGCCTCTTCCAGTTGATCGCCAGCGGCCTGCACAGCCGCCGATACCACCGCCTGGTCAGGTGCCTCCAGCGCCCTGCGAGCTGCAGCCGCCTTGCGCTCCGCCTTGCTGGCCGAGTTGGCCGCCCTGCGAAGGCGAGCAGCAGGTGTGAGCTCCACCTCCTTGTGCCGCGCTTGCTCCACGGCCGCCTTCTCCTGCTGGGCACGCAGCGAGGCCAGCTGCTCATCGAGGAGGGCGTCGGCCACGGCATCCAAGCGAGGGCTGGCCTCCAGGTGGGCGATGAGGCGCTCCAGGTCCGGCATTCTGGAGCTCTGCCGCGAGCTGCCTCCGCCGCTGCTGTCTGGGCTGCTGCCTCCGCCTGCGCCGCGGTCGCCCCCTGCTGGGCTGCCAGTCCAGGCTGCTGCAGCGGCCCTGGCTCTGCGCCTCGCGCGCTTGCCTTTGCCAGCCTCGACGAAGCCCTCGGCGCCTGGCCGTGGCGGGGCGGGCCCTGCAGCCGCGGCCCCTCCTCCGTGGACTCGGGCCCAGGGCGGCGCCGTCGTCTGGCACCCAGAGCACTTGGCCCGCGTGCGGAGGGACCACTGCCCGCAGCGGCAGACCCAGTAGGCGCCTTTGCCGCCGCCAGCGCCGCGAGCCCCAGGAGCAGCAGCTGCAGTCCGCGCGGGGGCCCCCGTCCCTCCGTCGCGACCGCGCGCCGCCGCCCCCTAGCACTCTCAATCAAAACTGCGCGTTTCTGGCCCAAAGCGAGGAGCCCCTCGCGCTCAGCACGCCGCGGACGACTCGCGGTCGTCGGGCGCTCGATGGCCTTGAGCCAACATGGCTACGGACGGTGGGGGGCATTGGATAAAGAACCCGTAGATAAGGAATCCAGGGTCTGGAAGGCGGCGGGGCTCCGATCGTGGATCGGCCATGGATATCACCGCCACCCTCATCAGATAAGGAACCCACCAGGGTCTGCAGCCTCCTGGGCACGTTCCTCAACCAACGCCCCCACCGTACGTCAGGCCAGAGTGAGCCCGGGATTCAGCTGGACCTAAGAGGATTAAGCCAGGTTCACTGGGACTAAGCCAGAACAAGCGGCGCGAAATCAAGTTTGGAAAACCTTCGGCCAGGGATATACCAGCGCCGACCCAGAACTCAACCTACCAGGGGCCCCGAGGCCGAAAAGTACCAGGAACCGCCCGCAGGCAGTGAGCGAGGATGTCAGGGACCACCCATGGCAGCTAGCCGGCGAGACGCTATTTTGATAGCAGAATGTGTATCCCACGATCAGCACGACGACGAGCGAAGCGATCTAGCAACCGCACCTCAAACACGAATCGAACAGGGCAGGGCCGTTTTGCAAACGCCCAGGGCCGCTTAGCAGATGCAGATTCGAGGTTGGGGTGGTTTCCCCCCCCCCCTCCTCCTCCTCCTCCTCCTCCTCCTCCTCCTCCTCCTCCTCCTCCTCCTCCTCCTCCTCCTCCTCCTCCTCCTCGACTCCTCCTCGACTCCTCCTCCTCCTCCTCCTCCTCCTCCTCCTCCTCCTCCTCCTCCTCCTCCTCCTCATCCTCCCTGGACTGGAGGCGATGTCCACCCCTGCCACCCAGGGTGACTGCGGCCGCGGGACCCCGCCGGCGGCGGCGCAGCCCGCCGCCCTAAGGGCAAGCGGGGCCCCCGTGCCGGCGGAGCCCTGCCAGCGGCTGCTGGAGGGATACTCCAGATTTCGTAATAAAAGGGAGGGGGTCTGGACCCTCCAAGACAAGCCATTTCAGACCTCCCCCGTGGGAGAACCCTCCAAAACATCGTCCCCAGACCCCCCAGGCCCTCCAAGAAAGCCTGGAAGAGACCCCCCCCCCGAAATGAGACCCCCCTCCCTTTATTACGACATCTGGAGTAGCCTCAACGCGACATCTGGCACCGCTCCCCGAGATCTCCGACGGTGGGACTCTTCAGCCGGCGGGTTCTGATCACAGACGCTGGCCCTCCGGGGGCCGTGCTCGGGCCCCGGGGCGATCCAAGAATGGATCCTGGGCCAAAGAGTACGGTCGGAACCCCTGGGGCCGCCCATCTTTACCCATCGGTCGGAAGAAGTACCGCAGGTTTGCGTCGTGTCGACCCAGGCGATGGTTCTTGACACCGCGGGAATCGTTCAACCTTGAACGATCGGCCGTTTCCGAAACGCCGCATCGTTGAACATCGATCGATTCTGGGTCGCCGTCGGCGTTCAACATTGAACTCCGGCGGCGGGGTCGCCGCTGGTCGACACGGCACGAACCTAACGTAGGTAGAAACATAAAGTAGGAAGGCGTTGGAAATAGATTGGGTTTCCGCCCGCCTCCTGCAGAGGGAGGAGGAGGGAAGACCACTCGACTCTTGAAGTAGGAAGGCGCTGAAAGCAGATTGGAAACTGGGAATCCAAAAATACCTACTTTCAACGACCGATGGGTACGGTCGGGACCCCTGGGGCCGCCCATCTTTATGGCCGCTGGAGAAATACGGCCAGGAATGTGCTGCCTAGCGTGTCGCGGCGGCGGCCCCAGCGACACGCTGTGGCCTGCAAGCTGATGGCGCGTCGCTCCGCCTCGCCGGGCGGGGGGCTGGGAAGAGCTCGGGACGTTGACGCCTGGGGACCGGGACGCGGGCAGTGTGTCGCACCAAAGCGTGGTGGGCCAGAACCCGAGGCGCGAAACGCTAAGCGAAAGTTCCTGACCATCGCCTCGACGTGACGTACTGCACCGCTTACGGCTGTAAGACTTCATGCATACCCCGGGGCCACCTCTGCACGCCGAGAGCCGAGCAAACGATCCGGATAAATGCACACGGCGCCTCCAGCAGAACAGCGCGCACTCGGCGAACGTCGTCTGACATGTGCACACCTCCCCAGCCGCAGCGCGGCTCATCACTCTACGGCTACGGCCCCTGGCCCCTGGCCCTGCTCCGCTCCTGCTGCAATCACATCCGCTTCCTCTGCACCCCTGCTCGACGACGCCCCAAAACAAGCACGATGCCATCCGCCGATAGAAGTTTGCTATCCGCGGCCCCAGAGGTGTCGACCGCTTCTCTGGGGGAAATGTTCGTCCCAGATCCATTGTTGCTACGGCACAGAAACGGCTCTCGGAGGGCCGAAATCGATGAAAATATGTGGGTTAACTACATCATATCGTCCGATATCTGGGAGCCAGACTACGTAACCTCCCAGCCCGAGCCACGGGATCTTCTTCAAAGTCTTCGCCGATCCACGCGCAGCCCCAGCAACAGGCCGACTCGCTCGCCATGGCAATGAGACTTCGGACACCCGCCTTTCCCGACGGGCAACCAAAATCGGGTGGCTACAGGCTCGGGGGAGCCGGGGAAGAGTCAGAAGCGAAGCGAAAAGAGGTTCAAAGTTTTCGGGCGTTTTCATCGGGCCCCGGCTGTCAGGAGCAAAAAGAAGAAGAATGGAAGGCTAGGAGGTCGTCTCGACCTCCAGGAGGCTGTCTCGCCTCAACGTGCCGGAAGGTCGTCTCGACCTCCTGGCACGTTGAGGCGTGGAAGAATGCCAAGTGCTGCCTGGCAGGGAGTATGTTGTCCTCTAAGGGGCCCGCCCCCCTGTTCGTCGCACCCAGTCGCGTGCATCCCCCCTCTTCCCGAGGCGACAATCCCTCGCAACATGCCCGCCCGCGCGCTTCTTTGCACTCTGGGCATCACCGGCTCGGGCCTCGCGTGGCCCAGCGCTGCCGACGGCGCCGCTCGGCAGCTTGCTCTGTTTCTCGCCCGGGCGACTGGCGGCGCGGCCTTGCGCGAAGAAGCGTCCCAAAAATCCGAGGCTCCGAAACAATTGGAGCGGCCCGTTTGGGGCCCTTTTCAGCCCCCCAGTTGTCGTCCACCCGGCCTTCTGAGAAAGCATGTCCTCTCTCGCTTCCCACCCCTCGGCGCGCCGCCGAGATGTGGACGCGCTCGTGCGTCGAGCATTTTTGTCCCTCTTTGGGCGATGCACGCGCGCGCGGTGAGCCAGGGTGGCTCCAGAGTTTGGCCAACGTCGGACTGGGCCCACGGGTCACCCCCCAGAGATCAGAGGATTCGAAAAATGGAAGCGGCCCGCAGGTTTTTGGGGCAATGTTCGGCCCCTGGTGGCCCTCAACGGGCCCCTGGACCGTCCAAAAAAAACGGCTCGGGACGAAGAGCTGGTCCTGGGGAAACCGCCCGAACCTCTGGGGGTCCAGGCATCGGAAAAATGGGAGCGCCAGGTGCCTGGGGCGGCGGGTGCCGCCTAGCAGCACCCAGCTTGCCCGGCGCGACTCGCAGCTGGAACGTACAGCCCGTGCACGTCGCCTCGCAGGTGCTCTCACGGAGCTGACAGGACGCATGCTGGGCCCAGCAACGTCGGTGTTGACGCTTGCTTGCGTTGCCACATATTCACGGACAGGTTGGCGCAATGTATGTTGGTTAGAATATGGCTTCAGCACGATTGGAGGATCCCTGAGTGGGCGGAGGCCCTGTTCACCCGAGACCACATCTGAAAAAACAACAACAACAACAACAACAACAACAACAACAACAACAACAACAACAACAACAGCAGCAGCAGCAACAACAACAACAACCACAACAACCACAACAACCACAACAACAACAACAGCAACAACAAAAACGGCTCACTTGAACAGGCGTGTTCAGTCGGCAGGCTACTCAGGCCGCAGGCCTATCTCACTACCAGGCTTGCACTTGCCAGTGGAGAACGGCCTCGTGTTCGCAGCGGGCTACATTCGAATCGTCGTGAACCATGTGCAGTATTTGGCGTTTTTTTTCCGCTGAATATCACCTGGCCCCCGTAGGAAGGGCCGCGACCGTCATTTGTGAACCATGTGGGTGTGGAGCAATGGAACTCGTTGGTATCCGATTACACTTGTATAAGTACGCGGGCATGGACGAAACCTTACAGGTCCACTCGAAACGGGTGCGGAAAATAGCAGCCAGCGAAGCAGTCCGATATGGTGGGGGAGCAAGCGCGGCGCTGCAGTCGCAAAACTGATCTTGTCGTGATGGGGTTCTAGAAGTGCGCGCGCGATTTGAGGGACATTCCCTGGCCGAGACCTGATTCAGAACGCAACGGGACGACCCATCGACATCAGGAGCACAGAGCACGACACTGTGAGGAACAAGCTGGTGTACACAAGGCATGGGCGATTCTTGCCGTGGTGCTGGCGCTGGCGGGCGCCCTCTTGCCTGTTCCGGCGGGCGTCGGCGCCGTGCCGGTGCCGGTGCCGGCGCCAATGCTGGCGCCGGCGCTGTCGGCGGCGCTGGCGCCGGCGACGGTGCCGGTGCCGGTGCCGGTGCCGGTGCCGGTGCCGGCGACGGCGCTGGCGCTGGCGCTGGCGCCGGCGCCGGTGCCCTGTGCCAGTGCCGGAGCCGGCACCAGCGGTGCCGGCGGCGGCGCTGGCGCCGGCACCGGTACCCTGTGCCAGTGCCGGTGCCGGCCGGCACTGCATGCATGGCGCTTGCGCTGGTGCTGGTGCCCGTGCCGGCGCCGGGGTCTGGTTGACAACTTTGTTTTTCCAGTGGTCGACCTCGTCGTCCACCTCCTCCTCCCCTCGTCCTCTTCCTCCTCCTCCTCCTCCTCCTCCTCCTCCTCCTCCTCCTCCTCCTCCTCCTCCTCCTCCTCCTCCTCCTCCTCCTCTCCTCCTCCTCCTCCTCCCTCCTCCTCCTCTTCCCCTCCTCCTTCTCCTCATCCTCCTCCTTCTCCTCCTCCACCTCCTTCTCCACATCTTCTATGCCTTCCTCCTCCTCCTCCTCCTCCTCCTCCTCCTCCTCCTCCTCCTCCTCCTCCTCCTCCTCCTCCTCGTCCCTATCCTCTTCCCGGCTGTGGCGTAAGCGGTACCCGATCAAAAGAGATGCACCGCCATCGGATCGTTGGCTCTCCTGCTGCCGATAGTGTCGGCGGACGACATTTTCCAGAAGGTGCCCACCCTTCTCCTGTCCTTCTTCCTCCTCCTCGTGAACTGGGCCACTCTTGCATGACGTGACGGGCCCGTGCCTGCCACGGACTACGCTGGGCCCTGGTCCAGACGCGGAGGGGCGGAATGGCGAGGAAGATGAATAATGGGGAACGATGAGGAAGAGAGGATATGTGGTTTGTTTAGGCCGGGGGCGTTCGGGCACCAAGAAACGCGGCGCCCACCCGACACGACTGCCACTTGGACCAGGCAATAACCGTCAATAACAAATGACACAGAACAGGGGAAGAAGATGGATGGACGACGTCGAAGGAGGTGGATATTTAAGAGAAAGAATGATGATGTCAAGGACGAGAAAGACGACGCCGAGGGAGGGAACTGCGCGAAGATGCGAGCTGCAGAATGGCCCGCTGGCTATGCGAGACACATCGGCACGCATGCAGCAGGACGAGAGGGCCAGGCCTTCATTTCGACGCTGGAGAGCGAAGCCCGCGCCCTCCAGCCAGTCGCTTCGTGCCCCGCGGCATACGCGCCGCCCGGCGGCGTGCTCGGGGCCGGCTCGCGCGGGCCCCGCGCGGCGACGCGCGCGCCCGGCTCGGCGACGCCGGTGGCGTCGCGCGCCTCCGCGGCAGCAGCGCTCGAGCCGCCCGCCGCGCCACGCGAAGGCTGGGATTGGGTCGAGGGCCCCGTCTTGCGGGTCGCCCTTGAATCAGCGGGCGGCGGGCGGCGCTCATGGAAGTGCGCGCTTCTGCCACAAGTGCCTCAGCGACGCGCAAAATCAACACATCAAGTCGCTGTGGAAGAGCATCCGCCCGCACATTGAGTCGGGCCAGCCCTTGAGAACCACTCCGCCCTCCTCCGTCTGGTGCGCCCCCAAGCGCGGGAATTGTTCGAAAGTGGGCTTGAGCACCGCCGCCACGTCAGGCTTGGACGGGCGAGCCTGCTTCTTCCGCTTAGCACCGGCAGCCTTTTCCGACGTGGAGATGGCGCAGAGGTCCACGCAGGCGTTCACGTGGATGCTGCTCTTTCCCGTCAGGAGCACGCGACGGATGAGCTCCTTGCCCTTGAACTCGGGCCTCGCGAAGATCATCGCCCCGTCTGCGCCGAGGCCCTGCTTGTCGAAGTCCTCCTCGCCCGCCACGTCGCTGAACTTCAGCGCGGACTTCTCGGGGCCCTGCGCCACGGCTACCGGGGGCGCATCAGTCTGCTCCTCGCCCTCGGCGCCCAAGGTGGCAGGCTGCGACTCGTCGAAGCCTGCGCCGGCGGCCTGCGCGGGCGGGTGCGCAGTGCTGGCCCCTGCGACGCCTTCGACAGGAACCTGCGCTGGCGGCGCCGCCAGGTGGGCTGGCGACTGCGCGGGGAGCGGGGCAGCGAACTCATCAGCTTGGTTACGTCCTGGACAGGCGCGCCAAGCGCGCCGACTCGTCGCCCTCGCTCTCGCTGTCCACGGCATCACCTGCGGACGCACAAAGAAAAAAGAAGGGGGGGATCGACCTGGGCAGGCGGGCAGAGGCTCCCGGGCACGCGCGGGGGGCGGGCGCGCGCGGGCAGGCGGGTCGGAGGGCGCGGGCACCCTCGTCGCCCAGAGCAGCTCGCCAGATGGCCTGGATGCCAATGTTGATGTCGAGCATTCGCCTGGCGCGCTGGGCGTGGTCAGCGGTGATGAGGGGAAGCCTGGAGGCCTCGTCCATGGCCCCCCCGCCTCCCGCGTAATCCGACGCGGCAGCGAGCGCGGCCTGGGAGCCCGGCTGGCCCGCGGCGTTGGCCTCCGACGCAGACATAGCGGGGTCGTCGTCCGCGCGCAACGTCGCGCGGATGCTCTGGGCCACCTGGCTGCTGGCCATGATCTTGCGCGCCTCTGGTGGGTCGAATGGCAAGATCGCCCACGACTTCGCGGCGAAGAATTGCGCGACCCTCTTGGCGCCCGCCTGGATGCAGTCCGCGGGGCCCGGCAACTCCCCCCCGTTAGAGATCTGGAACTCGGTGCGAACCTGCGCGGCGCCGCCGCCCTGCGAATTTTCGCGCGGGCACCGTAGCTGGGATTTTTCGCCATCTGGGAACTCAACTTCGAAGCAGTCGGGGGGGGCCGCGAAACTGCCCGCCCGGGAATCTGCCGCCGACGTCTGGCCAGCCCCTGTCTCTCTGAAAAACCTGGGCGACCGACGGACACGGATACCGCCGATCCCAGGACCTCTCCTGGAGCGCGTTCTGGCCAGAATTCCGAAGCGAATCCAACCGCGGCGCCGAGGGCTCTCAGGACGAGCAGCGGTATCGGTATCTCTTCGTCCGCTCAAAACCCGGGCCGCGGCTTCCGGCGCGTCGAGCAAGGTCTCCCAGCCGAGCGTCTGCGCCTGCCGAGGCGCGAGCGGGAGCCGCGCCTACGCGGAGACGCCGCTCGGAAGGCTACCCCCCGCGGGCAGCGCGGCGCGGCGCGCGGTGGCACGGTCGACGCAGATGACGAACCGTTCCTTCGTGCACGCCGCGTGATTGAGGAGAGACGCGGACGCGCATTTCCCGCGAGGCTCACCGAAGGTTGCGCTTGCACGAGTGGCCCGTCTCGTCTTACCACTCCCAATCAACGCGTTCAAGGTGGGCGCGCGCGCCGTCGGCGCGCGATCTTTATCCCCACCGCCACGACCAGCGGTCAGGAAACCGAGGCCGCCCCAGAATTCGCACGCCTCGTCGAGGTTGTGAAAGCCCCGCCGCCCCACGCCTCGGACTGCTTGAAGCCGGCAGCCCGCTCGTCGCCATTTGCAATTTCGACCAGGAGGGGTCCGCACACGCACCAGTAGAATAACTCAGCGGACGAAGCTATGGAGCCAGATGCTTTTCACGGCGGTGGGGGGCGGGCCTGCGTCAAGCATTGAGCGCGCGCGTTCGCCAATTGCGTCGTCGCTAGCGTCGAAGATCCCCTCGCGCACGCAAAAGAGGCGACTCTTGCCTGCTCGGGCGCGCCCACTCTGGAACGCGGGCGCGGATAACGGCGCAAGCTTTTGACCCCGCACTTTGACAGCCACGCCGTTCGTTAGAGCGGCCATGGGGCCTGCGATCATCAGGGCCGTGGCGCAGTACCCCTGGCACGCGGCGTTGACGATGGCTCCAAAAACGCACGCGCACGAGGGGGCTGGTGCTCCGCCAGGCTCAATTCACTGGCAACGCGGGCCGGCGCCCACCCGAAGAACTTCTTCACCTGCTTCTGAGACGCCGTCTCAACGTCTTTCACCGGCATGGCTGCGCTTGGCTTCTTTGCGGGGGCGCGCCGCAAATATGGCCTGCAGACTCGCTGCGGCGATTAACCGGGGCGCCCTCGCGGCGCAAATCAAATCACAAATCTGAGCCAAACAATTGCGTGCAAAGTTGGTAGCTGGAAAACTCACAGCGGGACAACGACGGAGCGAGCGCCATTGGATCCCGCCTGGTTCAAGAGGGGACCACTCCCCGCCCCCCCAGCGCCAGACAGGGGGGTCAGGGTTAGGGGGCGATGGTTTGGGTGTTCGGGCCAGGGTTTGGGTTATGTTTCGGGGATTCGGATAAAGGTGGTAGGGATAGTGTTAAGGTCAGGGGCATAAGGTAAGGACGGCCAACTAACGGGGATTTGGGTTAGGGTGCTAGGGCGGGTCTTAGGGTTAGGGATATTGGGGTTAGGGCCAGGGTGATGGGAGTAAGGTTAGGGTTCGGAGTGTAAGGTTCGGGTTCGGGTGGTAAGGTTAGGGGGTTAGGGTTTGTGGGTTAGGGCTAAGGTTAGAGTTAATTGTAATCAGGGTTCAGGTGCGAGGTTAAGGGGTTCGGTTTAAGGTGTTGCGGTTAGGCTTAGGGAGTTCGGGGTAGGATGGTAGGGCGGCAAGGTCAGGGTTCGGATTGAGTGGTTCGGGTTTGGGGGGCAAGGTTAACGTTCGGTTTATAGTAATAGGGTTACGGTGTCGGGGTTAGGGCGAGGGGCAGGTCGGGGCGGTAGGGTTGAAGCTCGGGCGGTGATTAGGGGGCCAGGGCTAGGGTGGCCAAGACAGGGTTAAGGTTAAAAGGGGCTAAGGTAGGAAGGTGTTCTGTCTAAGGTTAGTCTTAGGGGCCAGGGTTAGGGTGGCATGGTTATGGTTCGGCCTAGGGTGTCAGGGTTAGGGCTACGGTGTTCGGGTTAGGGCGGTACGGTTCGGGTCTGAAGGTTAGGGCGGTAAGGCTAGTTAATGTTAAAGCCAAGGTGTTAAGGTTAAGTCGTTGGGGTCCGGGTCCCTGGGTTAGGGGGTTCAGAATTTGGGGCGGTGAGAGGATTGGCGGTAGGACTAGGGTGCTAATGTTACGGTGTTGGTGTGACAATGTTAAGGTTGGCGTGTTAGGGCTAGGGTGTTAGGGTTGAGGCGCCAGGGTCAGGGGTCGTCGTCGTCGCCGTCAAACAAGTAAAACGTTGAACCATGACATTGCGCGCGAGGTTGGCAGGTGGAAAATCGATCAGCGGGGCAGCGAAAATGGCGCCCTTTTCTCGTCCTTGAATCGGCAACGCGCGCGGATGCAAAGGCGGCGGCCCGACCCCCTCGGGCCCGCCGCGTCAGATCGATGGGCCGTCTGCTGCGCATATATCCCCGAAGCCTGCGGGGGGGCGCGCAACCTCGCTGCGCGATCCAAAACCGCGCCCAGAGCCCTGACTATTGCAGGGCGACAGAAAGCACGACGCGCATGGCGAAGGTCCCGCGCCCTCCATGAATGCCGAGACCAGGCCGCGAAGCTCTCAGGAAAGCCCCAGGAGCTTTCGAATGCATTCTCGCCCTTCGCCCCACCCCTTCCCCCCGTCGCACCCCGCCCCCTTCGCCCGACCCATTGGCCCGGCGCTGGCAAGAAGGAGAGGCCGCGAATGGCCCCGCGCATCAGCGCTATCTCGCCCTCTTCTCGGCCGAAGCCTCAGCGGCCTCGCTCGCCCGAGCCACCTGCCCGGCGGCCGCGGCCCGGGCGCCCCGCGCGCGCCCCGGAGCCCTCGCGTTCAGCGCGCCCGCCATCTCGCGCGCGCAGAACTGGGAGGCCCACCGGCCCACGCGGCGGATCACGCGGCCCAGCGGCGAAGACTCGCTGCCCATGATTTCTCAGATGCTCGCGGGGAACTTGCCCTGCAAGGTTTTGTTGGCTCCCAGCCCAGGCAGGAAACGTTCGCTGCGCCACTTCCCCGCGCGGTGCCCGGTGGAATGGCACTCATCGACAAAGTTAGCCATCTCGGTTGCCAACCGCGCAACCATAGCGGCGCCCTCCCCGTTCTTCTCCGCCATGAGGCGCAAGCGGCATGCGTCGTCGTGGGCGACAACCTTGAGACCGGGCACGCGGGCCGCTACAATGGCGAGGACCGGCACCGCTGGCTGAGGGGAGCTCATCCACGTGCGCCGCAATGCCAGACGCTGCGACGGCTGTCAGGACTCCCGCTGCGCGGGCGGCCGCAGAGATGCGCGCGCACGTCTCACTGCGCGTGGAACACTTGGAAGCGGCGCGCGGTCCGTTCGAGCTTCAGGACGCCATGGGTTTTTTTTCTTTGGGCCCCTTCTTGCCGGCCGCGCCCTGCTTTGCAGCGCCACGCGGCGAGCCCTGCGCGCGAGCGCGCGTCGGCCCCGGCGCCGAAATACGAAGCCAGCGAACTTGGAGAGACAGCGCACGCGGGCTGCCAGCGACGCGGGAAGCCTTCGAGCTGCACCTCCAGGGGGACCAATCATCTGGGCCGCGCAAGGCTCGGCGCAACCGGTGGTTGCATGTAGTCTCGTGCGGCGGCGGCGGGTCAGCCACCAACGCCTCGGCACGCCTGCAACACATAGCCCCCTTCCCATGCGGACGGTCAGGGCACCCTCGCAGGAGGCATTGTCCAGCTCGGCGCAAGAGACCACGCGAGAGAAAGGCATGCCGCACGTTCGGCAACACAGCTTCGCGTTGCCATCGATGGCAAGAATGTGCGCGCGGTCTCCAGACAGACGGACCTGCTCCAAGCGCCGGCGGAACACCAAACGCCTGCACCAGCGCCAACACTTCTGCACCAGGGCCTCAATGGAGAAACACAGCAACTATTTTGCCAACTCGTCGAGTTTCTCGGGGGATCCTCCTGGCATCGCACCCACAAAAGCTGCCGCGCCTAAGTGGAACTCAAGTCCTCGCCGGCTGAAGCGCGCCTGGGCCGTGCATCGTGCGGAAGATGGTAGCCTCGCCCAGGAAGGAGGAACGGTGAACCAAGAGGCGGCACCGCCACTTCCGCAGCCACAAAAAGGAAACGCCGGAACTCTTCGACAGAAGACAGAAATCCCAATGAAAGAAAACAACATCGAGACGTTTCTTGTGCGCCCTGGCGTCGCCAGGCACAGGCTCTTCCAGGAAACCGCACCAGCGCCGCGTTCGGCGCCTCACCTCTTTCGTCTGGCCGTTAGCAGTCTGCACCGTCACCATATCGAAGCAACGGGAACACCATCGAGGATTGTGTGTGTGTGTGAGCTGGCGCGTTTCTGGCTCGGCGTATTTCCAACAGACTCCCCGCCGCGGCGTGGGCAGACCAGCCGGCGCGACGTCAGCACGCACGGCATAGCGAAGGTCACGCGGTGCACGAAAGCTTGGCCGAGAGAAGACAGCGCCTCAGGGGCAGCATCCGCGCGACCTCGCTTTCCTGGAAAGCTTCAGCCAGCGCCGCCCCAAGCGCGGTGTCATCATCGCCGAAGCCGCAGGAAGCCATGACCACTAAAGAACGGGGCGACAGAAAATGCGGCATGGAATACGCAATGCTTGGAATCGGCTGCGGGGAACAGTATGTTGGAGAAGTATCGGCGGAACGAGCGAAGGGGGGCGGAGGGGAGGGAGGCGGGATAGAAGGAGAGGATAGAAGCTAGAGAAGCGTGGGGAGAGCGGCGCGAAGGGAGGGGGCAGGGAGGGGGGAAAGGAGGGAGGTGGGACGGAGCCAAGAGGGAAGAGAAGCAGAGGATGCAGGAGGGATGGGAGGGAAGGGGGGGGAATGAAGAGAAAGAAAGGATAATGCAAGATGAAAAAGGAGGAGGCAGAAAAC